GATATCCATCCTAGAGTTTTCTCCATCTACTTCTGGCGCCGACAGTAATTTATTGTACATCTTTATCTTATGTATTTTTATACGTAATAATAAATATAACATTAATAATATATCTTTTTTATTAGCATACGAATAAACTAGGACAATATACTGTATTTTTCTTTTCATCATATTAAATCAAGATCTTTTTCTCTAATTTCGTTGCTTCAGCACCAATGACTTTTATTTCGAGATCATCTTTCTGTTAATTTAAACCTGAAAAAACGAGATTATTTTCATCATTTTTGGCCTAATTAAGCACTTTGAGATCATTTTCTACTTTTTTTCCGAGATCAATTCAACTTCATTCCACTTTTGTCGTCACAATCAATCAATTTCTTCAATAGCTATTTTTCTAGAAATTATATTCATCATATCAATAAAATATCATTTTGTTTTTTTACTATACTTCTAGTATTTAATAGGTGTAAATAAAAAATAACTCCAATGTGTTACTTGAAAATGTTATGTGGAATTATTGAAGAATACAAGTGATTGCTGTATTTAGTAAGATATTGATAAATAATAGATCTTTTACATTTATTTTCCAAGTTACTAAAAGAGTGACAGAGATTTTTATTGACAAAAAACAATACACAAAACCATAGTCAAGATCCAATGATTGAAATATTGAATAAACAACAGATCAAATGTCATCAATAGTCAGGAATTAAGTGTTCATTGGCTATAAGAATTCGTATCAATTTAACAGCAAATTTGATGGTAATTACCTGCAAAATAATTCAAATATGATCATGAAATCAAAGAGAGAGAATATTTACCATTGCATTAAAAGTGGCAATCAACTCAATAGCAACACTTCTCCTATCCGACGCTGACACATGAATAGGAAGGACATGATATACAAATGCACCACCTATGATAATAAGCTCGGTGACACCCACACCCACAAACTAAAATTTGAAGAAAATCTTTTGAAATTCGAATATTTCATTAAAATAGCATTCATCTAACAAATCTTCTGAGAATTAACATATGACACAAAAGAAATGGAAAACAAATGTCAAGATCTTTTTCATATTGACAAACACGAGTAATAAGCTCATAGTTTGTTATGTCCTTTTGCAGATAAAATAGAACTCAGTATTATAATTTATCCTTTCATAGTATTGCAAAAAAGAAATTGAATAGTATTATCTATTGCCAAGAGATATAACATACTATTTGTAAACCCCGATACGAATAGTTGTAAGTGATCAGAAATCCAAAGCCAAAGAATTCAGTGAGGAAGCTAGCTATACGAAGTTTGATGATTTGTTCTGGAAAACGTTCATTTTCATCTGTCGATCGAAATAGAATTGTAATAATTGTGATCACAGCAGCTCCCTAGAAAATTTATATACAACATCAATAATAAAGAACCTAGAATATATGATTAGTCTTGAAGAATTCTGAAAGAGTAGTAAAATATCATTAGCATACTTAATTCTTGAAACTGAAGCAAGGAACTTTATTATTCAATTTTGATTAAACTGAAAAGTATAGATTTCAAACAAAACAAAAGTTATTTCATAAAGTGTTTACTATCATCATTCAATAAGAATAAAAAACTTACGAAACCAATGGCATTTAAGATCAGAAGAATTAGTCGTGTTCGACTAAGTTCAGGTACATCAGCCAATGTTAATGGTTTAACAGGAATAAAATTATCACTGACCACAGTCAGTTTTTCAGTTCGTTGTTCGTATTGCATTTGAATAGTGTGTAAACTAAGTCTTTAATCTTCTAAATAAACAGAATACGGATAAAGTAAGAATGAAAAAGATACAACTAATAATATTTTCTCCATCAGTCATAGATTCTATAGAATAATAAAACACAAATTGTTTAATTGATGATGATGATGATGGTATCACTCTCAAAAAAAGAAAAAAGAAAGCAACAGATAGTTTCTCATATGACGATGTACAAGTAGTGCATTACTAATAAAATCATCAATAAAATATCAATATTTAATCTACTCAAAAACGATTCATTTAAATACTGAAATAATGTTTGAATAAAACAGATCTTATCCACCTATATATGTATGAATAATTTGCAAAAAAAATTTTGACACACAATGAATGGTAAGAAACGATAACAATTACTGACTATCAGTGCATGTATTTCAACATATTTATATCAAATCAACATTGTATATCATTCACCTTTAATGAATAGTCGATTATAAACGACTGTTTCGTTCATTCAATTAAAATAAAGTGCATGCATTTTCTACATTCTTTTAATGCTAAGATCAACATTATTGCCGCGGACGAATATAAATAAATAGATATATCTTATTTTATGAATCAAACATACTAGAAAATTGAATAATATTATTTTCGTTTTATTTAAATCAACATTCGTTCACATAAAACATAATTAAATCATCAATGAGAATTAAAGACACGCCTCTCTCTCTCTCTCATGTAGAAAAAGTATAGAATAGAAAATGTTAATGGAACGAGAGGTATGTGTGCGCCTATCGTACATGTACAATTTTTATGAAAGTACTGTTATAGATACGTTTTTATAACCATAAAATCTATTGAACTAACTTCCATGAGTATTTAATCTAATCTTTTTAATAAAAATTATAGATTGCATCTTTTGACAAAACTAGTTTAACAAACTTCTTTTAAGATATTTGAAGTGGAAAAAAGCTATTTTAACCTGTTGAATCCCGCTTGTCTTCAATTGAAGACAAGCAGAACGAAAGAATTTTTTTTTCGTTCTGTCGTGTCAATAACATATGTTTGGCGAGGAGATAATGAATCGAGGAGAGGTCATATGTGCAATGGCGCTTATCATTATTTTTTTAATTCTGACATACGAGAAACTAACAAAGAAACTTTCTCCGATTATACTTGAATAACGAAATTCCTTTTTTAGTTATTTATTGATTAGTAAAATCTCTTATTTCAGATCTAATTTGAAGAAGGACAAGAGCTAACTGGAAAATTAGGTCCAGTTTTTTCTTGGAAAGCTGGTAAGACTCGTGATATCTTGTCATTTCCAGGTTCAGCTATTATCCATTGTCCATCGATACTTTGTCCTGAATTTGATGAGGAACTAGTTGAACGATTTGGATATATAACATCGTCATCACCACACAGCAAAAATACTTTCATCTGCCAAAAATCAAACAGAGTGAGATCTTTACCTATATTCTTCACTATCATAAATTTCTTTTTCATTATACAAAGCTTCATCCTTTTTTTCAACAGTGCCATAAGGATAGACGGTGTCGTCATCACTAGAGAGTAAATCTTGCTTTAGTCTATTAGTGTTGAATAGAATCAAATTATTATCTATACTCTTCACTCTCGTAATGAAGATTCGTATTGATTAATTGTTTCTCCACTTCATCAATTTCTGAATCTGATAAAGCCATCATAGATTTTTCCTCGTATTCACTATCGCTGCTATCATCGAAAACGTTACGCTTCTCCATTGTAAATTTTGAATATAGCGATTTCTTACAAATATTCTGTCTCTTTCATCAGGTTTTCTCTTGTTCAAGGTCCACATAGTTTCTGTTTCTATTTCTTTCGTGCCGTATCAAGAACACACTATAAAGGCATTATGAGTCCATGTTTTATAACCGATAATCTGTGACATATACATACAGCTGATTGAACGCGACAGAACGCAAGAGAGAGTGATTTTTTTATTTTTATCCATATTATACAGAACGCAAGAAATTATCGGGATTCAAGAGGTTAACAAGAATTTAATTTAACAAAAATAAACAGGAAATTCCATAATGGTTTTTTTAAAGGAAAAAAAGGATCTATAATAATTGTTTCTGATGATAAGAATAAAAAAATTCAGAATGAATTCTGTGAAAAAGAAAAGAACAGTGCTTATTTAATATTAATAGGATCGATTGTTGATATATTAGGAGAATGTTCTCTTGTGAATTACTTGTGGAATATCTCATTCAATTTGAAGACATTTTCTACTAACAATATATAAATTATATTAAATTTTCAACCCGCAAATAATATTTTCCAGATAGAAAAAATAATGGTGTAATGGCATTAAAATGTCTTGAAATTCACATAATCATAATGATGCGAAACTGTCACAAAAAAAAATGCCCAAAAAATGTTGTTCACAAGAATCATTAAAATGGCTCTTTTTGGCCGTGAAAATGGTTTTAAACATGATAAAATAATATTCATAAAAACACTCATTTTTTCTGACCGTTATTTCAGACTAAGAACAAGTTGAATCTAACAGACTTTATTTTCTGTCTATAATAATGTATTTAGGTTCTTAAGAGTAACTTGAGATATTCGAAAACGATATTCTACAGTTTAATATCTCATGTCTTATTTTAAGAAATAGATTCTAGTTCTAGTTTAAATTAAGATTTGCCTTAGCAGCAATACTTGCTCATGAATTAC